TTCTTTTTGCCATAGCTAACAAATTTATATGTATATGTATAATGTATATGTATATTAATACATAATATGTGTGTGTATGCATTAATATGCCTTTGTCTGTTGATATTATCCTTTCACAAATCGCAGAATCGGAACAATATAATTACTTCGGCAAACAAAACGGAAACGTGGAGCTGACAGAATTCATGGATAAAAATGTGTAAAAGTTTCTATTGTTTACCCTTTGGCTCCGTGTTATTCAATTACCTTTCTTTCTGTAACATCATTTTTTTTTTTCGATATAACTGCGCGGAGGATCGAGTATAAAGACATGTCAAAGTGTCGTACCATAAAAATGACAAGAAAATAAAGGAAGTGAGACGAGACGTGTAAAAGTTTTGTAACGAAAAGAAAGGGGAAAGTGGAGGAAACTGTCCAAGAAATATACACTGGAGGGTGCAACCATTTGTTTTTTCGTCCATTGAGTTGAATCTCGCGAGAATACAATGGGAGAATGATGCCGAGTCCGTCGAGGAATATACTGATAACGTTTTTAGAAGATACTGTCACTAAACCCTTCCAAACCACCAGTCAACGTCCATGAAAAATAAATATTTTTACGACGTGTATTCTTCGTTCGTTCTTCGATGTGTGTAACTTCCGGGGATTGGTAAGCTTGGAAATTTTGGTGGACGATATCTCCCAAACTAATCATTTGAATTTAATGATCGAAGGGTCTTAAATATTGAAATTAATTGGTCCAGCAATTCTCCAAGTTTTCCAGAAGAAATTATCAAAAATTTCTATCTCATTTTCTTCCCTTTTATGAATGAATATTTTTCAATTAATTTGTCCAAACAATATAATATTTACTCACAAAATTAAGTACAATATAATAATTTTCTATGGCTATTACTGCAACTAATTAACGCATTGAAATATTAATCGAGGGTTAATTCAAAATTAATTGCGATAAATATAACGAATTATAGGAAGGATGAAACACTTTTGTTTGAACGATACATGGAGAAAATCCTTAAGGGACATATAGGAAGCGACGAAGAAAAATCCTATCAGTTAAGTACATGTATTTTCAGGAATTTGTATCCATTTATCACAGGGGAGATACGTATGCAGAATTAAAGTTGAAGATTCACTGGAGTGAGTAATGAGGTAAACTTCAAATTGCACGTTAATTTCCACAAGGAAAATTCACCTTTTCCTCGCAATTCAGTAACCAGTGATTATATTTACGGCCAGTTACCAAGACAATTACACCCGCATTTACTCGGTTAAACCGACGAGTACGTACAATTAATTAATTACAGCGACGAAATGCCACGGTCGACTTGCCTCGCCTACCAAGCAACTATTCGCCTCGTGTAATTAACTCCGGGAGTTTAGTACCATTCATCTGCCAATCAATATGGCTCGTGTCTACTCAGGAATGCAATACAACATTATCGGTTACCACTGAAGCCACATTACCATTGCGTTGAAACGAACTGAAAAAAAAAAACGTATATTCCACTGCTATTTGAACATTGCAAATTACGGAATCATTAACATCATGAAATTTGAGCCACAGCGGTTGATCTGGTAACCGCTTCCCGGTGGAGTGCATGTGCAGTATCAAGCAATGCAATTAGTGCTATTATTCTCAGTTCTAATACATCAAGGTAGTTATAGTGAATACCACAAATGAACCACTCTGGATTAGCGCAAACGCACGAATTCCACGGTGAAACAATTTTCCGGTCTAATTGGTATACATGGATAAGCGATGGGCTGTAATTATGTGATTTCGGATTTGGTTGTTGAGAATACAGTTTATTATATGATGCAAGACCCAAAATGGATCGTGTTTGTTATTATTAATTATCCGGGAATTTTCCGTGAGATTGAATCCTCATTCTTCAAATTTTATGATTATCTTACTCACACGCTGAATTTGAATCCTTGCTGTGGCAGGATTCCTCTAGAACAGAAAGGACGCCTATCCACGGTCATGAAGTTTTTAGAGAACTCCTGGAAAATCGAAAAAAATTTACGATCTTTCTGCAATCTCCTGTTTTTTCATCACCTAGGATTCAATTTCGATGTTGCGCTCTGAAATGCAACGTAATTTTTCAGGGTAAACGCGATTTTCGAAATGGGAATAAAAGAGAAACAGTTGCCTGTAATTTATCGCGTGTCTTATGTCCCAGTGCTTGTTTTCCCATCGCATTTTGTGCGCACAATCCTGGAGAACCATATAAAATGTGTCTATTCAGAAATCGTAAAATTGAAACAATAAAAAAAAAACAATTCGTACAAATCCAGTTATTGAATCCAATCCTCATCACTTCATTTATACGTACTCCACTGTCTAGAGAAAGTTGAAATTTCCACGTAGGTGAACACATACCAATTTGAAATTCCATTAAATAACGTACCTCTATAAATATTGGACGAAATCTTGTTCCTGTACGGTGGCGAGCATTTCTGATCTCGTCGGAATCAGGGGATCAGTTCCACTGAACAATTGTTGGAGATAATTAAACAATGTCAGGTGCGAAAATAATTAAAGCCAATATTTAAACGTTTGATTACTTCGAAGACTTTTTATTAGATGAAATGTCTAAGATTCTTTCTTCATCTCCAATATACAGTTGCTGCCCTATGCGAGTGTACATAATGTTAATTTTCCCATACACTCACCCCATTATCACTTTGTTTTTTGTTCTATATACAATAATTGTTTGGCATCACATCGAATTTGTGTACATACAACAGTGAGTTACTATCTCAAACTGATAAATATCGAAATCAATTTGTTTTTCATTTGGCAGGAATCACACTTTGACTCTGTAGCCGTCGCTCAAAACGACGCTAAATCAATTACTCATTCCCAAGTAATCAATCACCTACTATTGTATCCAATCATTAGTACTATATTGGCATCTTATCAGTACGCTCGACGATTCATTAAATTACCTTAATCACTAGATTCTTCGTTAAACGTATTATTTACAAAATATTTATCTCATTTATTTCATAACACACCAACGTCTTTTAAACTACAAAAATCGGTTAACTATAAAATCCAATAAAAAAAAAACTCGATTAATAAAATGATACACTGGTGTCGATAAAAAATCAGTCTTAACGCGAGAGATACAAGGATTAAGAGGTCATCGCATCGTTGCTCGAAATATCCACATTCATTACCCAATTACCCAAACACATCAAATGACCAATGCTCAGATGTTAGACATTTTTTTCGGCACAATTTACCTTTTGAATAATTAAAAATGTCCACAAAGAGTGTTCAAAATTCATGCATCGGTACTTGCAGTGAAAATTAAGGTAAATACTAGTATAGGTCCACCTCAGATAATTATCACTTACAATACCACGAGAGCTGCGAAATTATCGGATATTTCCCGATAGATTCGTTGCAAACAAATGAACGCTTCAGATTTTCCAAGTTGAAAAATAACGAACCCAAAGTGCTAATGATTTTTCTGAAAAACTTGACTAATCCTTTGTCAGCGGGGAAAGTAGAGGAAAATCTCTAATTAATTTTGAAGTTCGAGTTGTAGGCAGAGGATTGTTTTATCGTCGAAGAAAGATTTGTATTAAAAAAATGAGAATATGAATTTTAAATCTCAAGACAATGTAGATAATTTATAATAATTAATAATGTCAGCGTTCACTCAAGGCTAGTTTCTTGTTATTTACAAGAGTGGAGTAGTTGGCGAGAGTGTACATGGGAGAATAAACGGGTATTATATATAGTTGCTCCAGAAATACCTCAGTATCCCCTTTCCTTTCTTTTCCCTCCCACCTATCACTACTGACATGATAATGATGACTGAGTGAAATTCAATATATATTAATTTGAATAGCTGCAGAAGGGTTGGCGGGGTATATCACTCACAGTGATTTACGTAATGCTGGTGTTGTGTTGTGAAGTATATATAGTGTTATGTTGATCACTGAGTAATTTATTAAGGATTAACTATTACCTAAAGTCATTCCTCTCTTTGTATGTCCATTGTCTTTAATTGTACCAGCATGTGTTGCCTTTGGAGTCGACAACATCACGTCCTCATCGCGACCCTAGATAATTCAAAGAGCGGTGTGTAAAAAATGATGTCTCCAAACATGAAGATCGCTTTGGTGAACCTGTACTAGATATTTATGAAAAGAAACAGTAGGAGTCATTCACATCTGAAATTGTTTACAGTAATAATAATATTGGCACAATAGCGCATTCACCCACATACAAAGAAGAGTCATACTGTGACGAATCGCATTACAGTGACATAACACGTGTTATTGAAATTGACGTACGTCTGTGAAGGGATTATTGTGTGTCAATTTAATGCTGATGACATAAGGTCAGAAATGTGAGCGGTAACTGGATTTCACCCAAATATACCAGAACAATTGGATAGATTTTTCATCTCAATGTCAATATGCTCAGCAGATGTAACATCAGATGGTGCTGATGCTTTATGCTACGAGTTCAAAGTCGTTGTGCCAATATTGGTAATAAAGCTTGGACATGAATTTTCAAGTCTATCACCGCTTTGCAGGGAATAATGACGATAAGTCATGAATTCTGGTGGATTTGGAGCAAGTGGCTGTTCCCTTTTCATAGCTGCCCTTTGTTTCTTCATCTTCATGTAACCGAGAACTGAAACTAGAACGATAAAAACAACAAAACCCATGCAGCTACCAACAATGAGACCGAGTCTTCGTGTTAGTATGCTTGCTAGTCCACCTCTATCAGGTGGTACTCCATCACCAATAACCGACTCGGGTGCATCCAGTGTTCTCACTTCGGTGCATCTGCTCATTGGTGAATTAACCATCACCGGTGGTACAGTACTCTCAATCACATCGTCATGAGAGGCATTCCATTGCCAAGTGTTAATATCCTCGGGAATTGGTGTGCCCCAACTGCCTAAGCCAAGTACGCAAATGAGATATCGAGTGTCGGACGCAAGTTTAGACAGTCTAACCGAGCGGGCTTTTGGATCCAGCAACTTGCCACGTACCTGTAATGTGGTAAGTTTGATTATGTTCCATCTGACTCAAGTTGGCGTTGTGTATGAACGTGATTATGATCGCTGATGAATCAACTTTAATGGAATTTTGGTGGGAAAATACCGCTGGGGAGATGGAACGGATGATTCATTTTTTTAATTGCATCAACAAAAGTCATTGAACTAACCTCATTAACGTTATCGAGAGCATGATATGCAACTTGATAGCCATGTAGGCCCGAGTGATTTCTACTCTGCCATGAAACAAGAACCGAGAATGGCTGAATATCCTGAATGGCGAGCTTTAGTACGAGAGGGGATGAGCAGAAGTGGTGCGGATCAAGATCGAGAAAAACGAGGCCACGGAGTTCAGGTGGTTGGTCGCATCTCAGCAATCCACCCTCAACGTTACCCACGTTGCCTACACCATTTGGTCCCCTTCCACGTCCTCGATCTACACCGCCAACTAATTTCTGATGATCGCGCAGCCACTCCCATAGCTCCTGTGATTCACACCCGCAGTGCAGTGGATTTTCTGGAAAAAAAAATGCACGAGAACTATGAATGCAAATTTTTTATCAAAAAGTGAATGCCATTTTTTTCATTGCCTGTAATCCAAAGATCTGAATAGATTTCCCCGGTGGTTATCAAGTCAGCATTTTTCATGCATATCAAAGAAACCGACTATCTTATAAGATATTTGAAAAAATATATTCATCCAAAAAATTGGACATACCAAAAACCGCTTCCTTAATATTGATCGCTGAAAGCACAAGTTATCAGACAGAGATACATGCAGAGATGACGTCAAAACACCGGTTTTTTCATGTTTCATAAAATTCTAGATTCATTTGAAATAAAAATGAGAGGAAACGAGAGGATCGAAAGCTCTTTCAACTGCAAGGCTGTCATTCGAAAACAAAGAGGACATCCATTGGTGAAAATTCATCAGAATATTATTTCCATCAATTTTAAAGAAGATCTATAGAGTGAATTAGTTGGTGAATGATGGCATTGTTGCCCTCTAGTATTAAATTGTCACGAAAGCTGATATTGATTTGGGCTGAAGGGGAATACAATTGGCTATATGAAGGCAGTGGGATTCGATTTGGTGTGCACTCGAGTTTTCTCGTGAATTGGACTAGAATGTCTGTGTGCATCACTGTACGTATCTAGGTTTTTTTCCATATTGCAAGATTTTCGTGCTCTGCACCAGTATATAGGGAAAAAATGGGAGTGGAAGAATAGAGCAAGAAAAATGAAATAGAATTACAGAAATTTATATAAGAAAGGATCAAAAATGAGTTTATCATCGATTCTTTCCACCGTATACAGACAATCCCACTAGATTGGATATATTTTCTCTCACCTTCAGCACGTAGACTCCGAATTTGTGTTTCAAGAGGTCGAAAGGCATTGAGCGGAAGATTCTCCAAATAGTTTCTGCTGAGATCCAGAAGACGAAGTTTCTTAAGCGGCCGAAATGCTTCGTTCGAGATATCGTTTATCCAATTTCCATATAGATGCAGCTCAACTAGGCTGACAAGATTCATGAAGGTGACCTTGCCGACCATAACTATTTGATTGTAGGATAAATCAAGTATTTGTAAGGATTTAAGATCAGCGGGAAACTCTTCGAGTTCCTTCAATCGATTATGCGTGAGATTGAGTATTCTGAGGTGTTCCATTCCCTGCAATCTCTCTTTGGGTAGCAGCTCTAAACTGTTCATTCCAAGATGCAGAGTCAATAAATTTGGTAAACTCCTGAATGCACTGGGTGATACTCTACCAATACAATTTCGCTCGAGATAGAGATGGAGTAGTGCGGGAAATGCCTCAAACTCTTGCGATGTTACGATACTGAGATTGGTTCCGGATATGTGAATTTCCTGAAGGAGGGGATATGTAACCTCAGCCGGTTGCTCGTGAATATGGTGAAGTGGATTCCGGGTCAAGTTGAGCCAGGTTAAGCCAGGGAGATTTTGACCAGAGAGGGCAACCGCTGGTATCTGACTGAATTTATTTTCCGATAGGTCAACACGACGTAGCATACCCGAATGATCGAAGAAATTGGCTGGTAGGCCACTCAGATGATTGTTGCTGAGGTCAACTGAGAGTAGACGAGACAGATTGGCCATGGCAAAGCCAGACATGGATTCAATTCGATTGTGACTGAGATCGAGTTCACGTAGATAGCTTAAACGAGCTAGGCTGGCAACATCTACTGTCACAATGTCATTGTGGGAGAGTGTGAGAATTTCAAGATTGAATACATGGGTGAGTGCTGAATACGGAATGGCTGTAAGTTGATTCTTATCAAGCCGTAGTTCACGCAAATTCACCAATTTTTCAAATATTCCAGGTGGTAAATTTCTCAAACGATTGCGATTCAAGTGTAGACGCGTTAAATTTGCGTTACGTAAAAATGTCTTCTCCGTAAGCTGTGCCAGCTGGACATTGTCCAGGATGAGCTCCTGTAACGCCGCCAATCCATTGAAGCTCTGCTCTGAGATGTGGCTGAAGTTGTTACCAGATGCGATTAGCACACGTAAACTCGGTACTATGAGTCTTGTGAGAGCGAGGGCTGTTAATTGATTGCCCTCCAGATTCAAATCATGCAAATTGTACAAACCGCGAAATGTATTCACCGGAATACTAGTAATGGAACAATTCTTTAAGTTGAGGATCTTAATCGGCAAATTCTCTTGGAACATACTCTCCTCTAGTTGTGTGAGATTGTTGTTGGACAGGTCCAACACTCGGAGTTTCTTGAGTGCTGTTAGGGCATAAGGCTCGAGATTCCTCAGTCCATTGTCTTGTAGATAAAGCTCCTCGAGTTCGTGTAACTCGGCAAAAGTTTTCGTACTGATGTGACTGAGTCTGTTCATACTGAGTTCAAGAAACTTGAGTGCTTGCATAGGTTGAAATGCAGCATCTTCAATGTTACATATAGAATTGTTGGTCAGATATAAACGCTCGACGAGTAGCAGATCACGGAATAGAGGTGCCTGGAGGTGTGTCAACTTGTTATGACCGAGCCACATTATTCTAACTGAAGCTTGACCGCGTAACGAGTCGTTGTGAAGCACCGCCAAACCATTGCTGTCGAGTTGAATTGATACCAGAGAGCTGCCGGCATTTGTAGATTCCGATGAGGACAGTTGAAATACATCACCGAGAACCGTCAGTTGGTTGCCTTGGAGATTAACGTGCTGAAGTGAATTTAACGTTCTGAGTGCACCTGTATCCATACTAGTAATGGCATTATTCTGAAGATGCAATTCAAGTAATTCAGGCAATTGGGAAAAAACACCCCTCTTCACTTGAGTTATTCGATTATCCTGCAGTCTCAATTCACGAAGTTGATTCACTTTCGCAAATGTACCCGGCTTAAGTTCTTTTATTTTATTACCATCAAGCGATAATGACGACAAATTGACACAGTATTCGAGAAAATCTACTGGTAGATTTTCTATGTAATTGTTACTTAAATGCAATTGCGTCAGTTGATTCAAACTTGATAATGCTTTACCATCGATTCTCCTTATCGCATTCTGCTGGAGATAAACAACTGCTAAATTTATACTCCCAGCAAATGACTCCCCGGGTATTTCTAGTATGTTGTTCTCGGCCAAGTAGAGTTCGCGTAATTCTGGAAGTCGAGTGAATACACCACCTATGTAATGAATATGATTGTGACTGAGCTCAATTGTCCTCAGTCTTTCGTTGGCCTTGAATGCTGCTACGTCAAGGAAGACAATTTTGTTGTGACTTAGATCAATCGACTCGAGCTCCTTCAGCGATACAAAAGCATCCTTGTGCACCGTTTCAATCGAATTATAATACAGAGACAGGGTATGAAGGATGGGACAGGATTTAAAGCAATCCTCACTGAGCTTATCAAAATTATTGCTGCTGAGATCGAGAATGAGAAGACCACTCAATACCGAGTAACCATCATTCGTTAATTCGGATATCTCATTCCAAGCAAGTCTCAGCGATGCCAAGCTGTCCAATCTTCTCAACGCAGCCATTGGAAATATTTTGATTTTGTTCTCAGCAAGATCCAGATCGCTGAGACTAGTCTCTAATCCAGCAAATGTGTGCTCCTTTATTTCTGATATTTGATTGCCTTTGAGAACAAGTTTCATTAGCTTCAATCCCCAGAAGCAATAAGACGGCAAATCCTGAATGAGATTAGCCTCGAGATCCAATGCCGCCAATTTATGTAATTCAGCTAACGACTTCTGTGGTACTTTGAGCAGTCTACTTGACACAAGTGCCAATGACTCTAGACTATCCTTCAGAATGACAAATGTATTGTCACTAATGTCTTTCAGATACGAGTGAGATATCTGCAGATGCCTTATTTGTGATCCCGGTGGGAATACATCATCTTTAAGCTTCTCGATGCTCTTATCTAACTCATAAACACTCAACGACTGTACCATTGTCGAGGGCCCTATAACATAAACGAAGGAATATGATTCTGTAGCTTGATAATGTCTATAAAATTATCTCGGAGTGGATTTTTACGTCGGACTTTGAGGAGAGTCCACTCTTTTATCTTACCTCCCTCGTTAAGTACACCCATCATAGTCTTTTTTAGGGTGTCCTCTGTCGCACCGGCACATTCCAGAAACAGCCCATCCTCGAAATTGTAGCAGGGACAGCCGGGAAGTGTCTCGCTCGGTGGGCATTCTATACTTTGACCAGCACTCGTCAATATCCTCAGGGTAAACACCAGTACAATTTGTTTGATAGGATTTACGTATGACGAGATTCTACCGGTACTTCGGCATTCTTTACTCCCTTCTGAGTACCACATCGTCGTCTCGTCACATTCGTTCGTTTTGGGTAATTGACTCTATCGATCCTGAAACAGAAAAAGATAAATAAAAGATCAATAATCATTACTATCATTTCATTTCATTTCATTTCATTCAATCAATACTATCGTTAAAACACATTTTTCAAAGTCTTAAGGGTCTTAACTTAATACTTTACAAGTTCAACGTGACCGAAGTCTCAAATTGAAATCTGATTTGGCACATGTTTTTCATTCATGAACACCAAAAATAACAATGAGTTGTAAATAATCGCAAATGAGTTTATCGCCGATTTAATCAGACGGTTAGTGTACGCCAATTATTATTGATTATTCGGTTCTCCCTCAATACCCAATCACTGATCATCAAAAGGAATCTATTTTAGTCTAGTCCACTGTACTTCTCTCGGGGATAAACAAACAACTGAATTTTCTGGGTTACGCATTCTAGATCTTCGTACATGGCTCTAAATGAAGTGTCGAGCGTACAAATCCAATGTACCGTGCATGTAGAATCCTGGGGATGCGAATACACCAACTAAATAACCCACCCATGGGGCGCAACATTGTGGATACATCGGTGTTAACGAGTTCCCGTCGGGGTGACATCCGGTTCAGATACAGTGAAAACGGGCACAGTCAACGGTGTCTCTATCAAACTGCAGTGCCAACCTCTCGCTGCATCCACGTGCACTATTCACCCCCTTTGTTTTCATTTTGTTTTGTTTTTCCATGTTTATTATCGGATCTATGGAGTTCATCTTTCCATTCCCCCAGTACTCAGTGATTTCAGGTTCTAAATATTATCAGCATTCCGATGAAAAAGAAAATAGCCTTGCGAATCGTACCTGATTTCAGTTAATCAGAGCGCAGTATTCAAGTTTTATCTCGGAAATTTTGAAAATAAAAATTATTGAGAATTTTCCAAATGTCTCTTTCATCTTTCAATGCATTTCACGTTGAATATTCTGGGTAACAGATGAAATGGATTATTCTAAATGTAATTACAAAATAAGAGCTCTGGAGGAATTTTTCTGAAATGTACTTTATTGCAAGTGGCAAATTTGTCTTTCAGAATTTTCCGTTCCTCTGCATGGGTGTGTAAATGTACGGATGCTATTCACTACACTCTGTTGCTTCGAAATCCGTTAAAATCCGAAATGGAAAAATAATCCGTTAAAATACCACTCATGTCTCAAAATTAATCGGATATTTTCGCCAAGCTTCTCTGTCGGGGAACGAGCGTGACAAATTTTCCAGCAAAATCCCTGGTGCTTTCCACTCAGAATTTTTACCTGCGCAATTTAACTCAATCGTTCTTCAAGAAATATCCAACAATTTCAGAGCACTAGTGGTACTACTGAAAATTTTGTCCCTGAAATTTCGTTTTTTTTTCTAACAGCGGAGGCATGATAATTATTGATAAATTATTATCGCTGTACTCTAACTGAATCGAAAGCAATCTAAAATAACCATACGAAAAAAAAATGGAATACTTCCATTTTCGTTGAAAATAAAAATTGATTAACAACTTTACTGACACTCTTCTGAGATTGACGAGTCATCTGTCCACGAAGTAATATTTTTTTTAGCAATATTCTTGGATGCCCTGATGAGATACAAAAAATACATATTTTTTTTCTTTTTTAATGCGTCGGATGGGTGGGGCATATCTCATTCCACGTTCTGGCAATCTTTTAACCGTTTTCCTCTGGATACTGCCTGTGGTTTTTCATCGTCCACCTCTAAACCACGAGGTTTACGAGTAACGAGTCGCTGGGATAAAGAGGTCACTGGCCCTCTACTCCAGCCACTAGGTTTTGGAGTGAGTTGTTAGGAATATGGGGTAAAACTTGTGGCATACATAACACAGGATTGCCATATTGCGCTGACTTTGTATCGTTCTGAGTATTTATCGACTAATGGACTTTTCCCGAATATATTTTACGAGGTTCTATACAGTTTTCCGGGATTTTATAGCAGGGAAAATTGAATTGGTTAACAATAATCCATTGTTTCTCGCACACTTCACTTCACATAAACGACATTCGATTTTTCTGTGCATATTTTCCACTTAGTTCAGCCAAAGAGACGGCGCGATACTGTCAATTTCAAAAGTGATGATTTTCCGCATAGATGATGGCATTTCTCCCCGAAGGAGTTGATTAAAAAATATTGACACGATATTGGCATCGATAATAACCAGGGAATATTATCCCACGGTAAATCGATCTTGTGCCGGCGCTGTTTTATCATTTTCTATTCAATTTTACAAATATTCAAAAGTATTTCAATTAAACTACACATTTGGCAGCTAAACTGAAGATATTGTCAGTAGTGATGCGACTGGCAAACCTGACCAGTCAAATAACGGTAAATTACCAACTTTAAAAATCCTACAATTCCATAAAAAATTCGCAATATGAGCAATTCAAATCTGCCGGTCAATTTTCATGTAAATAAATCTCGAATAATAAATTCATTATTATTTTCTGAGTTTTTTACCCGTTATTTTGCATGGGCAATTACGTCAGTGTCAAAAAATTGCCGAAAACGTCAGTTTTGTCTGACCGAACTGAATCTAAAAATGACACTCATTCCACATCCCTGTCAATCCAATCGTGATAAAAGTGATAAAAACTTGCTGAATCCTGTTATATCCCCCTTCAATGGTCGCAATCGTATCTTGCGATCGATTCCCTTGGATTACATTCATGGACTGTAATTACGTAACCGAATAGCTGAATCCATGTTTACAACTATTGACAAGCTACCGGCGCCTTTTTTAACCGCACGTGAGAACGCTAAACTCAATGTTAACCATTCAAGGATAAGGTGAGAGGGTGAGGGAAGAGGGGGAGAGAAGGATGATAAAGACGATGGAAGGAGGCAGTGACTGGTTCGCTGATAAGAGGTCATTGAAACGACATGTACGTGACGAGCACTGAACGAGTGAGAAAAGTTATAGACAGTTTGGTGATGCGCAGACGTAGATGTCTGGGTAATCCGATTGAGATAGCTAAACCGCAACGGTAATTCCAGGCCATTCCCTGGGTAATGTTTTTCTCGTATATCCTGGCATTCCACTGGTTATCATCACTACCATCACTTCTCTCACTCTCTCCCCTTTGACCTCCTCCCTCGCATCTGGATGTCGTTCTAATTTTGACTCCGGTAAATTAATCTCGGGTGACATGTTCCAGTCATTTTAATCTTCTGATCCTGTGACGGTAGTAGACCATTGCGACATCGCATTAAACCTCGGGGCTACGACATTAAAGAAGAGAAAAAAAAAATGGGAAATGTCATCTGTGTGAGAGACGTAATGAAATTTTAAACTTCAGTGGAGAATGAAAATTCGAGAAGTAAGATTTTTGACCTAGATTCGGGAAACCGGCGTTTCTGATCTCTTCATGATCTTCATTAAACTGACGACTAGGATCATCATGTATATTATAATTATTTTTATTTTTCTTATGCTTATATCCGTTGCGAGGCAACGATCTTAACTATTACGCCAGGTCATCGAATATTATAATTATGAAAATAGTAAATATGATAATTATAAAAAATGATCACTTTCAACAACTGAGCTGAGTTGAAAAACGGTGAGACTTTTCGTTACTAGATTTTTTAAAAAGAGAATCATTGAAAATGGCATTGTTGTCTCTGAAATCTACATCCAATGGCGTTATTTAATTCAAAGACGATCGCCCTGTTCTGTTAAACGAGTACTCCGAGAATTCCCGTGGGAATATAGCCTCTTACGATTCAAGGCTCGTTTTCAATTTGTACATTAATCTAGTCTCGATTGTATCCCTCAGCATTCCACGCCTCCGAAGACTCCTCCTTTACCCTCCAGTCAATTCGCCTAAACCCTTCTCTCTTCCTATTTTCTCCATTCTGCTTCACTACAAGTGATTTTTTCCGGATTTCCCGGTTCGGGTCGAGGTGCCTCCGGTAATCCGATGTTACATTCACATCACGCCCGTTTAAAAGGTGCATTTCGCTCTGGCCTCCGGAGCCCCGATGGCGAGGCGATGTCCTTCATGGATGGACTGTAATCTTTGGCATCTGGGTTATACAGCCTGCCATAAGGCCCGAACCTCGTCGGGTCTGGCGATTTTTCGACTGCTAGAAGCCACGGAATTCCCTAGATTTTATTGTGATAATTGAGTTTTGGGGAATACCAATTAGAAAGTATATGAAAAATTCCGATTTTAGGATGAAATAAAACATTTATTGTCTATAGACATATGACATGGCGATTTTTCGGCTACTAGAAGCCACGG